ATTCGAGTGAGGATTTCGTTCGGGACGAGATCTCGTTTGCATGATAATTCTATTTAAATGTAGTAGTCATATTGATGATATTCGCGGCGCTAAAATGTTCTCATTGTCAGTTGTCGTTCCACTGGTCTCCTATCTACGGCCAATGAATTATTTTCCATTTTCATCTCCCCTCGTCAATGCTCTAAAATAAGAAACAGTATTTTTTGTCGGAACTGGGACAAAACAGCTCGCCGGTGCACTTTATCGAACGTTATCAACAAATTATTTTATGTAATTGGGTGCATTGCAATCTCGGGGAATGATTCAGTACCCAAGGCTCGAAGCCCACATCAAAAGTATCTAGTGCCTGTGAAATTGCGTGGGATAATAAAAAGAAATCAATGAGCTCAATATATTATGTTCATTTTGAATAATTGTGGAATCATTCCCCCGCAGAGTAGTGACGGTCGCAAAACCAATCTTATGCGTTCATATGGTCACTTTCCAAAGTTACGAGTGCTCACATTAGAATGCGCTGATAAACATAAGGCACAAATGAATTCGACTTAATATGATGAGGTCACGGATTACGCATGATATATGAGAATGTGTGTGTGTATGTGTATGTGTGTAGGGATATGAACTCGTTTGTACCACATTCAACCTGGTTGCGATGCCCCCCAGGGCGTGCCGACAAGTAACGTGTTCGGTTCACAAAACTGAAGCACAGAAATTCGTACAGCCCTAAATTGTTGCACATACGCGGGTGCGAGCAACGCAAACCAAACCGTTTTTATATCTTCTGACCGAAGCATATGAACTTGAGTTTGTGTGCATGAGTTGATGTGCGTGCGCACAACGGTATACGCATGCAAATTATCATGGTGAATTCGTTTACCCAGATCGACGATACATCCCCGTTTTGGTGCACATGTACTCGAAAACGATTGAACTTTCCAAAGAAAAATAGCATTAATTTGACCGCTTCAAAGATATACAACCCGTTTTCCGGAAAACTATGAAAAAAACCTAGTGAAGCGTATCAGCTCACACGTTTGTGTAACTGGCTACTTGCGAGTAGTAGTGTATTTGTGCACAATCAATCAATCTCTCAGCCTCGATAGTATTCTTTTAAGAACATGACTATCTTTTCGACCAGAGGGATGGAGATATCGCAGTCTGACAAACCTGGATTCACTTTCACATCTTCTGTAGTCCAAAGTAGATATAATGTAATTATTTTGATCGATTTATTGAACTGTTTCCCGGTGTGGCCCACATTATTTTCTTGTTAGATGCGGGACAACAATGTAGGCAGTTTCGCTGTAAGTCAGTCTGTTCAAAGCACTCAATATTTTGTATATGTGGGACTGACAATGCGATTTTGGTACGCCCACGTGCGTGTGTGTGTCTGTGCTCACTCTCTATAGTTCAGCTGTGAAACTGTCCGCACATGACTCGTACCAAACACTTTGAAGTGATATGATTGGTCAGGTACAGATGAATGTGTCGCAGTATTGGACCATAAGGAAATGCGCTCTACTGAACACACGGCAGTTTTGCACCGTCGGTTTTGTCCTCCTCACTGGGGTTCAATAGGTCTGTTCTCTATTCGCATTTCTTCTCAACTTTACCTTAGATAATGTCCTAAAGAACGTGTTTAGCCCAAGTTCTACTGAAATGAAGATTGACCTATGATATGGGGTTGACGGCCTGCAAAGTCCTGTTGTCAATCTCTGTGTGCGGCTGAAAGAGGTACTTCGGAAGTCCATTTATAACCTGGTTTGAGTGGAGTGACGAACTTAACGAAGCATC